AGATATTCATTTAACTCAATTACTCTGCAGGCTTTCCCGGCAGTGCTGCTGGCTCAGCTTGTGCCCTTTGCCCGTGCTCTCCTTGGCGAAGTGTCCCTGCTGCTGGCAAGTCCTGCTGCCCACTGCGGCCTGTGCCAGGCAAAGCACCTTGAGATACTCAGAGCAGAGCTCCAAGGCTGCATGCCCAAGAATCCTCTGAGGCCTTTTGAATGCACATCCCCACATCCTGTTTTCAGCAGTGGGTGATGCCCAGGATGATACTGTGCCATGCAGAGACCTTGCCTTCAGTGCCCAGGGTGTGGGCTACCCCCACAGCCCTAAACAGCCTTTTCAGGGCTCTAGGCAGGATGAGGAGAGGCAGGGTCCCTGCAAGCACTGCAGTGTGGCTGCTGGCTTCTCATCTGTAAGGCTTGGTCCTCCTTTCACTCTGTGTGGCACTGGGGAGCACCTCTCCCAGCGTGCCCAGCAGCTTTAGTGTAGAATTCTTGTTAAATTTTAATGAGAACAAACAAGCTGGCACGGGACATAGCTGCAGGCATGCTGCCTGGACATGGGCTAGGCGCTGACTCCACTTCGCTGACAGCCGCTCTGGCATTGTGGGGCTTTCCAGAAGGCTGACCGGTTTCACCTGCATCTGCAGCCCCAGCAGAGCCATGGCTTCCCTGTTCCTAGGACTGGGACTGATGCTGGAGTGGCATAGGCTTCTCTGGTGCCAGCTCTGCAGCCAGCAAATGCCAGGATGAAGGGTGCTATTTTGCCTCCCAGTACCACTGCGTCCTGCTCCATAGCTTGTAGCTTGTGGCTGGTATTATGAGCCACAGCCAAAGCGTTTGCAAGAAGCTGGGCCACACAGCACTAAGGGACGGGGGTGCAGGCACCATTGCATGTCCCCATCTTGCACCCAGAGTGAAGCAGAGCTGGGGCAGTGCAGGGAGGGCTGCTGTGGCCAGTGATGCAGGGCTTGGGTGAGCTCTGCTGCCTGTGCTGGGTCTGTCCTCAACCACAGGAGCCAGGGGCAGGAGGAGGTCCGTTAGCAGACTAGCAGGGTTGGGAGTGCCTGCAGCTGAGGAGGAGGAGCCCCAAATCAAAAAGCTGAGTGAGCAAACTTGCAGCTTTTGGGAGAAGCTGCAAGGGGTGAAGCGCTGGCTGGTGGCACTTGCCCGTGGCGGCTGAGAGGATGTGACTCTACCCATTGGTGAGGAGAGCTCCTGGGATGCCACCCCTCCAGGCAAGGTGGGGAGGCCTGCTGCTCGTGCATGGCCTTGATGGCTGTGAGGAGATGGGGTCCTGCGCAGTGCTTTTGGGCTGTGCTAGGCTGCTGGCTCTCTTCTATGCTTGCAACACTGGCTTGCCACTAGAGCAAACACTGCAGGCAGGAGGGCTGTGAGCCACATTAGACCTGTGGCTTCCCCATTCCCAGGACTGAGGGCTCCCAAAGGTGGAGCCCTCAGTCAGACATCCTCCACGGCAAGTGCTGCAAGGTTCCCCAGGCCACCAGCTGCTGCTCTGGGCCAGGAGGGTGCCATTGGACTTGGCACTCTTTGGTGGTGGCAGTGCAGCCCCTGGCTCGCCGAGCCCAGCTGCGGTAGGGTCTATGGCTGTGCATATATGTATGTGCGACTGGGGAGCCATGTCACTGTGCAAGGGTGGCCCTGGCTGCCCCACAAGCTTCTGGCATCCTGCATTGGGTTGATGTCCTTCTGTGTACAGACTGGCAGGGAGTGGGCCAGCTCTGGGCTGGGAAGGCAGCCTTAAAACTGGCTCACCATCTAGGAAGGAGGTTATCGGTGCTCTGGAGAACCCCATCTCTGGGGGCATCCCATAAAGACTCTGCCTGAATGCTTTTCCTCCTGAACCTTGCCCTACCTCACTTAAAAGCAGCAGCAAACAGGAAAGGAGCCTGAGAGGGAGGTGTCTCTTCCTGCTGTGATGACGGCAGCCATTCCCAGGCTGGACGGGGCTAGGCTGCTCCAGCCTTTTCCTTCAGAGCCTGAGTTAAGGCATAAAGAAGGCGAGGACTGTGGGGGAGCCGGTCCTGTGTACCCTGGCGCCTGGACCTGTGCAGGGACCTGCAGTGTGGGAGCCATGTCTCTGACACAGACAGGCTGCAGAGTCCCCCTGTTGCTTTGGGACTCCCTGTGCTTTCCACCAGGTGTAGGGCTGGGAGGTGACTCTGGGTGCTGGGATTAGTATGTAGGGCACAGCAGTGGGCCTGCTGCAGGGTCAGTGTGTGGGGATGGGGCTTTGCCCAGGGTGGGAAAGTGTCTGCCTCGCTTTACCCAGGAGCTTTACCCTCTCCTGCTTGCTCCCTGCCTCTGCCATGACAGGCCCAGGCCTCAGCCCTCCTCTGGATGAGAGCTGGCATCTGCCCCAAAGTTCTCTTCTGCCCCAAATGCTGCTGGCTGGGGGCTTCCAGGATTGACAGCTCCTTTGCTGGAGGTCCCGTGGATGCTCCACACAAAACTGCTCTGTCGCTGTCTGCATGTGTCCCAGCCAGGGACAGGGACCCAGGTTTATCCTCCCCTTCAGTTCAGAACAGCAGAAAAGCTGTTCAAGGGAGTTTTCCCTGTCCTTAAGCCTTGCCTGCCCTTTGGGAGCTGGACACCCATGGTGAATGGGGCATCCTCCGCGAAAAGCTGGTCATGGTCTGACTGGCTCGTCAGTCATGCCTTGCTGATTTTGTTAAGGCCATACTCCTACGCCTACTGAACAGGCAGGAAAGAAAACCCTCTTTGTTAAAGATTCAACAGCCATTCCTTTTGGTTGCCACGTGAGAATCACACCCATCATATTTTCAGAGTCCTGCAAGAAAGCCTGGACCGAAACCAGGCTCCCAAGGACTTTGGAGACCTAGATGACATGAGCTAGGAAGATCTGAACAAGGAAGTCCTTTTTCCTAAGTGGCTGCTAGGTAGTAAAATAACAGGATGCTGCACAGGCATGCCATGGGATTCCCTATGCCAATGCCTGTTGTGCAGCCTGTAGCAAAGCAAGGTGTTTTTTTTTTTTTTTAATAGTTGCTTTGGGACTCCCTGTGCTTTCCACCAGGTGTAGGGCTGGGAGGTGACTCTGGGTGCTGGGATTAGTATGTAGGGCACAGCAGTGGGCCTGCTGCAGGGTCAGTGTGTGGGGATGGGGCTTTGCCCAGGGTGGGAAAGTGTCTGCCTCGCTTTACCCAGGAGCTTTACCCTCTCCTGCTTGCTCCCTGCCTCTGCCATGACAGGCCCAGGCCTCAGCCCTCCTCTGGATGAGAGCTGGCATCTGCCCCAAAGTTCTCTTCTGCCCCAAATGCTGCTGGCTGGGGGCTTCCAGGATTGACAGCTCCTTTGCTGGAGGTCCCGTGGATGCTCCACACAAAACTGCTCTGTCGCTGTCTGCATGTGTCCCAGCCAGGGACAGGGACCCAGGTTTATCCTCCCCTTCAGTTCAGAACAGCAGAAAAGCTGTTCAAGGGAGTTTTCCCTGTCCTTAAGCCTTGCCTGCCCTTTGGGAGCTGGACACCCGTGGTGAATGGGGCATCCTCCGCGAAAAGCTGGTCATGGTCTGACTGGCTCGTCAGTCATGCCTTGCTGATTTTGTTAAGGCCATACTCCTACGCCTACTGAACAGGCAGGAAAGAAAACCCTCTTTGTTAAAGATTCAACAGCCATTCCTTTTGGTTGCCACGTGAGAATCACACCCATCATATTTTCAGAGTCCTGCAAGAAAGCCTGGACCGAAACCAGGCTCCCAAGGACTTTGGAGACCTAGATGACATGAGCTAGGAAGATCTGAACAAGGAAGTCCTTTTTCCTAAGTGGCTGCTAGGTAGTAAAATAACAGGATGCTGCACAGGCATGCCATGGGATTCCCTATGCCAATGCCTGTTGTGCAGCCTGTAGCAAAGCAAGGTGTTTTTTTTTTTTTTTTTTTTTTTTTTTAATAAAAGAAAAAGAAAAAGGCAATCCAGAAGAGAGAGCAGCAGGTCTGTCCAGACTGCTCTCCATCCCCACCGTGGCTGTGAGCTCTATCTGCCTGGGCAGAAGCCTGCTGTGCTTCGTGGGTTTGTGCTCACCTGGAGTGGAACTGAGTCCACGGAGCCAGGAGTGAGGGGCTGTGACTGGAGCACCTTCCCCCCTGACAGGGACTGGCTCTGGCTTCCGGCTGACGACTTGTTCAGAGGGCAATGTTTGCTCTCTCTTGCTCCTGGCCTGCCCTGGGTGCTAGAGGCAAGGACCTCTCTGGGGAGAGCAGTCTCACAGGAGTCTGGCGCGAGGCTGATGTGATGGGCTGGCAGCAAACTGGCTGTTTGTGCTGGCATGACGCAGCCCTGGGCTTATCAGAGCTGGTGGGAGAAGGCTGTGGGGCCTGTCGCAGTCTACAGACCACATCATGGATCATGCTGGAGCCCAGCAACAGCAGCAGGGCTGGCACCCATGGTGGCAGCGGGAGGTAAGGTTGGCCATGCTATGCAGTGGCTCGGAGCCCGGGTGAAGCAGAAGTGGTGCTGACGTCTACCAGCATGCTTGGCTCTGCAGCGTAGTTTTTTTCATAGTTTGGACATTGGTGCTCCTGCGCTACGTGTGGGTAGGGTCCCTGGCCTGCAGCTGAGCCTCAGTTTCCCTGCTGAGGCAGTGGGGTAGAGGTGCCTGGAGGGAAGGGCAGAAGATGGAGTGCTCTGAGCCAAGAGCCTGGCAGGAGGGAGCTGTGCCGGGGTGGAAAACAGGCCGGAGTATATGTGAGGGGGCAATGGGAGGAGGGAGGGCTGCCAGTAGTGGCAGGGGCCCGCCCTGTTCCTGGTGTAGTCAGTGCTGGCGAGGCCCCTTCCCTCCAGAAGGGAGAGCCGTCCTCCCTTCCCTGGGCCTTGAAGCAGGGCTGGAGATGCGGTGCTGGGTAGTGATGTCAGCCTTCGGGCAGGGGAAGTGTGGGAGGAGACAGCTGCCTGGGGAGTCCTGCCTGCCCCGGCCTGGCCTGCGGTGCAGGAGAAGGCATGAGAAAGAGCAGGCGGCAGCTGCTTATCGTGCCCAGGACGCCAGCCCCAGCTGGAGGGGGACACACCACCGCAGCCCACTATGAACGGCAAACACAAAGGTACTGAGTGCCAGCAGCATGGGGCCCCTCCGCTCATGTCCCTGTGCTGCTTCTCCTGCTTTGCTGCAGTTTCTCCCAGCTGCAGAGTCACCTGGTGGGGACTGGAGGTTGTGTACGGTCCTTCTACACACCAAGACGTGACTTGGAGCCCAGGGGCTTGGGGCTGTGGCTGCAGAGCCTGAGCGAGGTGAGGGGGAGGTGACCTGGGGCTTATTTTCTGTGTGTCTTCCTGGCCAGGAGACACTGAGGACGAACTCGGGAATGCAGAGCACCAGCATGAGCTGCTCCACATCCCAGGGAAGAAGTGAGAGTCTGTGGAGATACCAGCTCCGCTCCAGTCCCCGCGGCCCTGGCAGATCTGGACTCTCCCTTCTGCAAGTTCATGCTGATGTGCAGTGGAAGTGGTGCTTGGGAACATGTATGTCCCCACTGCTTGGCTAGGGCAGATGGTGATCATTTGGGGAACTGCAGCTGTTTGAGGTTTACAGGGCAATGCAGGCTGTCTTGTGCTAGGGGCAGGAGGCTGGGCACCCAAATTTTCACTGGGGGTCTTCTTTGGATGAGTGACTTCACTTGCTGTGCCCCGGAGAGGAGAGTTCTCTCTGTCAGAAGCATGACATCTCTGTCAGAGATGGACGTCTGTGGCCTGCAAGGGGCATTGAGGGGAGGCTGTCACCATGGTGTGCAGAGACACAGTACAGGCTCTGCATCTCGAGCCAGGACAGGGGCACATGGCACCCTGGGGCTCCAGGGTGATGCACCCTTGGATACCATAGCAATATGTCTTTCCTTGGCAAATTAGTTTTCTCCCCCTCACATCCCAAGACTCTTCTGCTACAAACTGCTCCATAATGATAAGGAGAACAAACAGAGCCCAGATGCCATGTCAAGTGTCCCTGGCATTGTGGCCCCAGGGAAAGTGGGCAGAACTGGGGTGTCCTAGGGCTGCTCTCCTGCACACGAGGACCAAGTTCCCCTGGCATGATTTGCAGGAGAGCTGCTGGTACCTGACAGAGCATGCTGGAGATAAGCAGGTTGTGGGGGGTGGCATTTGGGACCTACTCAGGGTTAGGCCAACCCCACCAGGGTCCTTTCGGAGACACTTGGGAAGCAGAGCCCCAAGCAGTCTGCTGGGCACCTCTGAGGAGGTTCCTAGTCCCCGCAGGATCAGAGGTCTGATGCCCCTGGATGGGCCTTCTTCTCCTCTGGCTTGGTCTGTGCCCTTGTCAATGGAAGACTAGTCCTCTGAGGAATCCAGCCTGCTGAATGCAGCCACCTTCACTGTGGCCACAGTGGTCCTGGGCCATTTCATATGAGCTGTCCTAGAAAATAGGTCATACTCAACTCATTTGGGCATAGAGGAATTACCCCAGCCGTCTATGGTGACTTCCTCGCTGGGTACTAGTTTGGGGCTTGCATCCCGTGCCGGCAGCAGGCTGGGACCCCCAGCAGCCCCAGGCCAGGCAGCACGATGGGAGCCCATAGGCACCCTGGACTGGGTGACAGGGTGGGAGCCAGTGGGTGCCTTGGGCTAGGCAGCTGGGTGGGAGCCTGCAAGCCCCTTTACAGAGCATACTCTGACTGTCTCCCTGTGCCTTGCACTGCCCTGCCCTTCCTTGGGGATACTCCAAGGGGTAAATAAGCACTTCCTCCAATTCTTCTCATTCGGAGCGCCTTCCCTTTCCTGCCGCCCTCCCATTCAGCACAAGGAGCCAGCCAACGTCCTGCGAGTGCAAGGGCGGACACCCCCAGCACTTCCAGCGCTGTCCAGGCTGACGTGGGGCCAAGGGAGCAAGAACGCCTGGAGCCTGGCAGGGGCTGTCTGGCAGTACAGATCGATCATCTCCAAAGCAGGACCGTAGCTTTGGGCAGCCCTGCGGGTGTCAGTGTCGCCAGCCCCCATCACGGAGCAGCCAGACCAGCGTCTGCTGTCTCAGTGGGGGGCTGTGGCCTTATCACTGGGAGTTTCTTTCCCTGGTGAGTCATGGAGAGCTGTGATGAGGTTCAGGGTTTTTGACTCATCTGACTCCAAAAATGATCCCGCTCCTTGCCTTGTGTCGTGGCTCAGCTGGGGGCAGGCAGGGAAGGGGCCTCGCTTCCCGGAGGAAAGGCAGAGCGTGGAGGAGGTCAGAGAAGAGGCGGCTCCCAGGCCCTGTGTGACCAGGCAGCTCAGTGCTAATCCCCGGATGCTCCCATCCTCTGTGCTGGCTGAGCTGGGAAGGGAAGGAGGAGGGAGAACTGCTCCAGTTTGTGCACAGCACCGGCCAAGCGTTGTCCCAGGGCCGGAAGAGGCTGGCGGGGGGCTGGGGTGTGCATGTGGGTTAAGCCAGCAGAGATGCAGCTGTACAAACAAGGATGCAGCAGCTCGGGTAGGGGGAAGAGCACCAAAAGCTTGAGCTCAAGGGCTCTTCCTCGACAGGTTTTCCCTGTGGTTGACCCTGGTAACAAAGGCAACCTTACCCAAAGGTGTAGGGGGTAGCACTGCTGGCACAGGGCAAGAGGACTTCTGCTTGCCACAGCCACCTGGCCTGGCCTGACACCTCAGGCATGGGCAACTGAGCAGTGAGCAGGACAGGCTGGCCCCAGGCACAGCGCCAGCGCCGTTGTGCTCTCATGGGGGGGGCATACCTGTGCCCTGGGAGGTGGCTGCAAGCAGGTCACCATGTGCCATCAGCATGGGGGCAGTGGCTCAGCTCTGCCAGCCCCTTCTGGAGAAGCCTCTTGTGTGTCTGCCTGTGGCACTCCTTGTTGCTGCTCTGGCCCTGCCATGGGGTGGCTATAGGTCCTGCTCCTTGGTCGTCAGGGCATGGGGTTCTGGAGGGTCCTGTGTTGGGCACCCTTGGGTGTTTCTGGCCTCAGATGCACCTGTGACATTTCTGGACATGCTGGTCAGAGCACAACTCCCACGGCTGCAGGGCTGGGGGTACGGAGGGAGCCTGTTTGGGCTCTCAAGGCGTCGCCAGCTCCTGCAGTGTTGATAAACCCGAAAGAGCGACCTGAGGCTGGTGTCTGAGTGTCAGAAACAGAAACCAGCTGGGACCAACCCAGCCGGTTGGACTGCCCCCCCTCCCATGCCGTGCGCAGAGAGGAAGCTGGTAGCAGCATTCTTGGTATCCAGATCATCTTGAGAGCACCAAGCACAGGAGAGGACAGGCTGGCATCCGGGCTGGAGAGCCCACAGGGCAGATTCCAGATGTGAAGCCGTCTGCTCAGCTGGTAACATCTGGTCTCTCTTGGCTGCTGCTGTGGGCATTGTTGGCTGGAGCAGGGCAGACGGACAGACAGTCAGACGGGCAGGCTCCAGGGCTGCATTTCCCCCGCTGTGTCTCTGGAGGGCTGCAGGCAGGCTGCGACCAAGGCTCAGGAAGGTGCTGCGACCAGCAAGCTTTCATTAGAAGGTAGCTTCATTAGTGGTAAACTTCTAATTGGGGGTAGGGGGTGGTGGTTTCAGGGGGTTGGCAGGGGCAGGACCTTCAGGGCACAGGGTCATGAGGCTCAGCCTGCCAGCTGCTCACCTCTGGGGCTCTTTCTCGGCTGACCA